TTGTTAGTTTATGATTAATATAGATTACATATAGACAATCTCTTTTGATATTACCACACTTCGAATTTAATAGTGGCTATTGAACTACAAATTAGACATTATTTTTCGTGGAAACTATATACTCTTAGCTCACAATCTTATTACTTGTACAATGATCCCGTACGCTTGTAGGTTTCACGCGAACAACTTGCTTGAAGACGACAGGACTGTTGCATGCTAGGTCAAGGAATTTTTTTTTCCACAGCATAACTCATTTCTTGATTATTTACCTTACTTATAGGCAAATCAATTATCAAAGATATTAATTCATTCTTACGTAATTATAGTCGCTAATAATGGTAAGAGAATTAGCACTTGCCTAGGAACGATTGCAATGGAGAAAACTTGATTTTGGTGTGAGTCATGAACCCTTCCATGTTTGAATTAAATCTGCTTCCTTGCTAACTTCATTACAGTGGATGACTTTAACAACCCCCAAAAGTCACAATCACCCCTTATTGTGTCTGGAAATGATTGAAAACAAGTGCAAACTTGGCAATTGATCAAACAATGAATTATTCACCCCGCAATTGAATAAAAAAGAAAAGGATTTTTGTTGGAATAAAGAATTCATATTTGACCACCAACAGTCGGATTTTCCCTATTAATTAAAATTTAATTATTCCCAAACATGGGCTTAGTATATAGAGAAATATATATGAAAAAATCTAAATGTTTTAATAGACTAAAATAAGAAAATGCAATATTAATTTACTTTAACATTATATTCACATATTAAAAAAATTGAAAATATCTAGGATGACATAATCTATTCTACACAAACTGTAATTGTTATAACATGAAATCATATCATATTCTGGATGTGTTTGATGGATATTATTGAGGAAAAATGTATTTTAAATATTGATATGATGGGAAATATGTGGTTAAAAAGTAAGGAAAAGTTATTGATGTGGCGAAAAATATTATTTTATTGAAAAATGTGTGGTTAAAAATGAATTTTGAAATAATGTATTTTTAGAGAATGTGTGTCAAACAGAGACTCTATATAGAAAACTAGCCACTTATGACAGTCACTGAGTACTAGCGACTCACAAAACTTGTAACACTTTTCTAACGATTTTGACAATTGATTTTCTAAAGCATGACAATTAAAAATCACCATTTGTATTAAGGAAGACAATGAATAAAGTTTGTAAAAATATGATATATTTTTCCAACATGAAGGATTGATGCTATGGATTTCCACAATAAGCGACAAAAAACAAATTATAATTATTTCAGATTAGGGTTTCTAATTTCTGCGTTGGTTTGACTTTATTTGGTTTTGTTTTGATTTGGATTTGGATTTGGATTTTACTTCAAAATAAATGTCAATAATAGTGCCCAACTGATTAGTTTATTAAAAACGAAGCTAAAAAGTCCACAATGATTAAGAAATGGAAAAGTTATACCCAACACCCATTTTTGGAAATTGCAAACTTCCTAAACATTGATTTTCATTCTAAATAGTGTATTTATTTCAAAACATTTCGAGATTAAAAAAAAAAATCAAAATTTTAACCACCATCCGCCACCGCCTGTCGGCTGTCACCATCTTCTTCAATCTCATAAAATATACTTTTGTGGTTCCAAAGTCCTACATTGAAAAATGTTCCTCACAAAGCGTCAAATAGGAAATATTACATCATCAGAAATTTGTAGGTAAACAACCTTTTGAGTCCTTGGATGAACACCTTGTTGGACTGTGACTCCAAAACCAACCTAATATGGGCTATGATGAAAATGCGCTTGGCCCAATTATATATGTTCGATTGCCTAATAATTTTAGGGAAAATTACACCCAATACCCTAAAAAATTAACTTATTTGATTAATACCCTGTTAACTAATTAAAACATTTTAGAATGTAATTAATACCTTACAAAATCCCCCAAATCCCTAAACCACTTACAGTCTATAGTGATTTCGTCTCGCTTGATTTTTGTAACTCAATGGCGGAGTATCATTCCTCATTCTTGGGTTGGTGTGATACACTAGTGTTGATCTCGAATGCCTAGTTAATGGAGACTCATCGTAGACGAAGTTCCGATAACTGAGTTGATTTTGCTCCGAAAGCTTCTTAGAATGCAGGAGTCTTTGAGTTGCAGAGCCTCAAGAATTTGTTTCAACGTTTCCAAATCTTTAGAAGTCTCGTCGATTTCTCTCATCTTCAATCTCTTCTCAATCTCTCCTTCAATTGAAATCGTCTGCTTTGGCTCGAGAAAAATGCCCGTCGAATCGAAGAAACCTTTGCGGTGAGTTGAAGTTTTCCTTGGCGATAAATTCACCTGTCTAATAAATTCTCTAGGTTGTTCAGTTTTCTTACTCTTGGATGAATACTTGATTGGATCTGCATGACTTGGTGTCTCAAACACCGCATTGTCCAATACACACAACATTTTTTTATCCTACTCAAGATGTGGTTATTGGGAACTTTCTGTGAATCTCTTATGCTGTAAGTACCGATATCTCTCTTGCTTGGTTTGATGATCAATTACTTGTTTCTTATTTAATGTGAAAGTGCTTATTGTGTCAAAATGAGGATGCAAAGAATTAAACTCACAAATTTGTGAAGGACGATGATTGGGATTATCAGCATATTAGATTGAAGCAGCTGTATTTAGCAGCGGATTTGAAGGAAATTCTTAGAAGTATCTCGAATACGATTTCTTCATGAAGATTTGGAAGTGACCATGAAAGTGAAGGTCCAAAGCCAGTCCCTTCGAGCAGGTGAAAGGGCCGTGTGATTTTGGACGTAAGAACACAAGTCGGTTGGTATTTCTCAGTAATGTGTATTTGGCGGAAGATTACAGATTTCTTTTAACTTGTATCTTTCTTTTGTTTTTTTTTTATTGAATGTTGGTTTCAATATTGGTATGAACAAGTTCATGAACTGTCCTACAACTCTTTTTTTAAATTATGAGAAAAATGAAGTTTGTTGTTCTATTGGATAATTCAGTGTTCTGTTCATGATTGNTGTTCATGATTGATCATGTAACAAGAAAAATTGTAAGCTATGTAATAAGAACCAGACCAATTTGATTGGTTTTCTTGTCTAGTAAATGCTAACAAACTCAAGGTTTCTAGCTATTTTGAAACAAATCAAATAGATATGGTGGATCGGTTGCTTGCTAACAATTTGTAATTTTTTTAATGTTTGTTACTTTTTTGAATATTTGTCACTTTTTTTTAATGAATGTCACTTTTTTCCTATTACTTTCTTGAAATTTATATCACTTTTTTTAAGTGACAAAAATCATTTTTAATAAAAGTTGTACATCACATTTTAATTAAAAGTAACGTGTCACTTTTTATTGCATCACTTTTTTTTTTTGTAAAAGTGACACTTAATTTTACACAATATTGTCCAAACTGAAATGTGGTTGTCTACACTACTGTAATGGAATAATAACTCAATTGTGTTACACCATTTTTAGTGTTCGTCACTTTTTTGAATTTGTGTCACTTTTTTTAGTGTTTGCCACTTTTTATCACTTTTTAATGTTTGTTACTTTTTTGGTATTTGTCATTTTTTTTTAGTTTGTGTCAAGTAAAAAAAGTGACAGTTTTTATAAAAAGAAAGTGACATTGTGTCACTTTTTCATTTTACACAGTATTTTTTACTTCATAAAAATATTTCATATGATTTTTCAAAACATCCCTAATTTTTAGGGTATTTTTGTAAGTGCCCCATAATTTTAAAATAATGAAGCCCAAACCCGAATCCAACAAATACACAACTTCAGAGTTTATTGTATTATCTTAAACTTGATAAATTGTTAGTTACTCTAAACCATTGATCATGATTTGAAATCAACGTCCAGCACTATATTTATAAATAGAATGCTTCAATGTTTCCCTAATTCATTCAATGAGTCTGATTTTTTCCCTTGGCCATCTTCTAGATTACTTTGTGTCTTCTTCCATGTGATCTTCAACCTTTGGTCGGAAGATTCATAGGTTTTTTTTTGGTGAAATTAAGAGTCTGAGTGATTCTTTAGTGAAGAGAGTGACAGTTGTTTAAATGTTGAGTTCTTCTAGTCTATAGGAACAACTTCGACGGTTTGTTCAAGGGTTCGGGTTTGAGGTTTCTATTTGATACAAAAGGATACAATAATGTGAGCCTATTTTCAATGACACTTTGATCCCTTGATAAAACGTTGAAGAATTGTAAAGTTTTTTGTTAAACCAATTGTTAATTTAGTTCATTACAGTTCTATTTTTGTATACTACTAAAGCTGCAACGCTTGAAGTGTAATTTTTTCATATAATTTTCAGTGAATCATTCTTCCTGCCATTCTTTCTTCTTCATTTCTAGAACTTTCCCATTGCAATTTATCATGGTATCAGAGCATTGAAGTTTATCTGCAATGGCGAATAACTCCAGTGTTCAAGCTGAAGCTCAAAATTAGTTCGATCATATCAATTCATCCATTGATTCATCAGCTGAAGATGCGGTTGCTGTAGACACAATTTCTCTGGTTAATCGGTTGATTAGTGATCCAAGCAATCCATATTATCTTCATTATGGTGATAACACAGGAATGCAAATAATTTTTGTTATGCTTACTGAAGAAAACTATGCTACGTGGAGTCGCTCAGTAATTATGGCGCTTAGTGTCAAAAACAAGGAAGGTTTCATCGATGGATCTATCATCAAACCATCTCAGGATGATCCTCTCTATGGTACTTTGCGGAGGTGCAATCACGTTGTTTCATCATGGATCATCAATTCCATTCCAAAGGAACTTTATCCGAGTGTGGTACACAAGGAAGCAAGAGAAATATGGATCGAGCTCCGAGATCGTTATAGGCAACGTAATGGTCCTTGAATCTATGAGTTGAAGAAGTAGATTGCTTCAATTTTACAATCAAACAGCTCGGTTAATTCCTATTTTAATCGATTCAAGGGACTTTGGGAAGAAGGATAATTATAGACCAAGTATTAATAACACTAATTACAAGAGTGAAGATCAAGTTATGCAATTTCTTATGGGGCTGAATGATCATTTTTCTGCAGTCAGAGGTCAGATTTTATTGATGGATCCATTGCCATCATTGAATAAGGTGTTTGCATTAATCCTACAAGACGAGAGGCAAAAGGAAGTTGTGGCCAAGAACCAATAGAACTTTGATGCAGCAGCTTTTGCTGGTAGAATGGAGCAAAAGTTCGTTGGCAATCAAAGGTTTATTTCATCAAATCAATCTCAGAGGAAGGAAAGGCCTCTATGTAGCTACAGTGGTATGCTTGGACATATTAGAGGCAAATGTTACAAGTTGATAGGCTATCTACCTGGTCACA